CTGATGATTAAGGATGTTGAACATTTCCTTAAATTTCTTTCAGCCATTTTAAATTCCTCTCTTGACAGTTCTCTGTTTAGGTCTATCCTCAATTTTTTTTATTAGATTATGTGTTCTTTTGGTGCCAAATTTCTTGAGTTTTTTATATATATATATATATTTTGGAGATCAGACCTCTGTCTGATGTGGGGTTGATGAAGATCTTTTCCCATTCTATAGGTTGTCATTTTGTCTTATTGATCGTGTTCTTTGCTTTACAGAAGCTTTTCAGTTTCAGGAGGTCCCATTTATTGTTTCTCTCAGTGTCTGTGATGCTGGGGTTATATTTAGGAAGTGGTTCCCTGTGCCAATGTGTTCAAGTGTATTTCCCACTTTCTCTTCTGTAAGGTTTAGTGTGGCTGGCTTTATGTTTAGGTCTTTGATCCATTTGGACTTGAGTTTTGTGCATAGTGATATATATGGGTCTATTTTCATTCTTCTACTACATGCTGATATTTAGTTATGCCAGCACCACTTGTGCTTTCTTTTTTCCATTTGATGTTTTTTGCTTCCTTGTCAAAGATCAGGTGTTCAAAGATGTGTGGATTGATATCTGGGTCTTCTATTCAGATCCATTGGTCCTCCTGTCTGTTCTTATGCCAATACCAGGCTGTTTTCAATACTGTAGCTCTGTAGTAGAGTTTGATGTCAGGGATTGTGATGCCTTCATAAGTTCTTTTATTGTACAGGAATGTTTTGGCTGTCCTGGGGTTTCTGCTTTTCCATATGAAGTTGAGTACCATTCTTTCAAGGTCTTTGAAGAATTCTGCTGGGATTTTGTTGGGCATTGTATTGAATTTGTAGATTGCCTTTGGTAAGATTGCCATTTTAACTATGTTAATTTTGCCTACCCAAGAGCATGAGAGAGCTTTCTACTTTCTGGTGTCTTCTTCGATTTCTTTCTTTAAAGATTTAAAGTTCTTGTCATACAAGTCTTCCACTTGTTTGGTTAGAGTTACTCCAAGATATTTTAAACTATTTGTGGTTATTGTGAAGGGTGTTGATTCTCTGATTTCTTACCCAGCCCTTTTATCATCTATGTACAGGAGGGCTACTGATTTTTTTGAGTTAATCTTGTATCCTGCTATACTGCTGAAAGTGTTTATGAGTTGTAGAAGTTCCTTGGTAGAATTTTTAGGATCACTTATGCAAACTATCATATCATCAACAAACACTGAGAGTTTGACTTCTTTTCTAATTTGTATCCTCTTGATTTCCCTTTGGAAATCAAGCTATGACTTCAAGACCTATATTAAATAGATATGGAGAGAGTAGACAACCTTGTCTTGTTCTTGATTTCAGTGGAATCGCTGGGAGTTTCTCTCCAGTTAGTTTGACCTTGGCTGTTGGCTTGCTGTATATTGCCATTATTATGTTTAGGTATGTTCATTGTATCCCTGCTCTCTCTAAGACCTTTATCATGAAGGGATGTTGTATTTTGTCAAAAGCTTTTTTGACATCTACTGAGATGATCATATGATTTTTATTTTTCAGTTTGTTTATATGGTGGATTATGTTGACAGATTGTCATATGCTGAACCATCCCTACATTTGTGAGATGAAGCCGACTTGATCATGTTGAATGATGGTTCTGATGTGTTCTTGGATTTGATTTGCCAGTATTTTATTTAGTATTTTTGCATCAATGTTCATGAGTGAGACTGGTCTGTTATTCTCTTTCTTAGTAATGTCTTTCTGTGGTTTGGGTATCAGGGTAATTGTAGCCTCATAAAGAGTTTGGCAATGTTCCTTCTGTTTCTATTGTGTGGGATAATTTGAGGAGGATTGGTATTAGTTCTTCTTTGAAAGTCTTGTAGAATTCTGAGCTGAAACCATCTGATCCTGGGCTTTTTTTTTTGGTGGGGAGACTTTTGATGACTGTTTCTATTTCTTCAGCAGTTATAGGTCTGTTTGATTTGCTTGTCTGGTCTTGATTTAATTTAAGTGATATTTATCCAGAAAGTTGTCCATTTCCTTTAAGCTTTCCAATTTTGTAGAGTATAGGTTTTCGAAATATGACCTGATAATTCTCTGTATTTCCTCTGTGTCTGTTGTTATGTCCCCCCTTTCATTTCTGCTTTTGTTAATTTGTATATTTTCTCTCTGCCTTTTGGTTAGTTTGGATAAAAGTTTGTCTATTTTATTGATTTTCTCACAGAACCAGCTTTTTGTCTCATTGATTCTTTGTATTGTTTTCTTTGTTTCTATTTTGTTGATTTCAGCTCTCATTTTGATTATTTTCTGCCGTCCAGTTCTCTTAGGTGAGTTTGTTTCTTTTGTTTGTAAAGTTTTCAAATGTTCTGTTAATTCACTAGTGTGGGATTTTTCCAGCTTCTTTATGTAGGCGTTTAGTGCTATGAAATTTCCTCTTAACACTGCTTTCACTGTGTCCCATAAATTTGGGTATGTTGTGTGGTCATTTTCATTGAATTTTAGGAAGTCTTTAATTTCTTTATTTCTTCCTTGACCCATTGATGATTCAGGTGAGCACTGTTTAATTTCTATGTGTTTGTGGGTTTTCTGGAATTAGTATTGTTGTTGACTTCTAGTTTTATACCATGGTTATCTGATAAGGTACACTGGGTTATTCCAATTTTTTATATTTGTTGAGGTTTGTTTTGTTACCGAGTATGTGATCAACTTTTGAGAAGTTTCCATGAGGTGCCGAGAAGAAGGTATATTCTTTTCTGTTTGGATGGAATATTCTATAGATGTCTGTTAAGTCCATCTGAGTCATAACATCTGTTAGTTCTCATCTCTGTTCATTTTTTGTCTGATTTACCTGTCCAGTGGTGAGAGGGGAGTGTTGAAGTCTCCAACAATTAGTGTGTGGGGTTTAATGTATGATTTAAGCTTTAGAAGTGCTTCTTTCACATATAAAGGTGACCTTGTATTGGGGGCATAGGTGTTCAGTATTGACATTTCCTCTTGATGGATTTTTCCTGTGACTAATACGAAATGACCTTCTTTGTCTCTTTTGACTGATTTTAGCTTGAAGTCTATTTTGTTGAATATTAGGATAGCTACACCCACTTGTTTCTTGGGTCCATTTGATTGGTATATTTTTTCCCAACCGTTTACTCTTAGACAATGTCTGTCTTTGAGGTTGAGACGTGTTTATTGCATGCAGAAGAAGGATGGATTCTGGTTTTGTATCCAATCTGTTAGCCTGTGCTTTTTTATACGTGAGTTGAGTCCCTTTACATTAAGGGATATTAATGGCCAGTGATTGCTATCTCTGTTAATTTAGTTTTCATTGTTGGTGATGCTAATTTGTGCATTTTTTTTCTTCTTTGGGATTCTGTATAATTATTTCGGGTCTAAGCTGGTTGGGTGGCTGGGAACCAACAAGTGCCCTCCCTCCTTTATCTTAGTAACCATAGATATTATCACTACTCACATGCCTTGATCAGTAGTGTATCAATCTATTTATAGCTAAATGCAAGCAGTGCTTTCATTTATTTATTTTTTTTGTCAGAATCAGAGCACTGTGGAGCATGCAAACTAACTTTTTACTTCTTTTCATTTTATTTTATTTTATTTTTGTTTCAAGACAAGGTGCCTCTGTATAACAGTTTTGGTTTTGTAGATCAGGCTGGCCTCAAACTCACAGAGATCCACTTGCCTCTGCCTCTTGAGTGCTGAGATTAAAGGCATGCGCCAAGACCGCCTGCCAAATTAACTTTTTCTTTCATATGGTTTTAACTTTTATGAAAAAATTTTTATGTGTAACATATACTTCTAAAAGTAAATTAAAATAAAAGGACAAAAAAGCTCATTAAAGTACTTCAAAGAAAATTCTCAAGTAATATAAAATATCCCAAAATTTTTTTCTCTTGGCTTCATTTAGTAAATGACCACAGAGAAATGTCTGAATTCTCTAAAATAAATCTTGGCTACAAATGTCACCACATACTACCAGATCTTTGTGCCTGCTAGGTCAAAGTAAGCCTAGGGCCTCCTTAATTTTTCCCATCCCCATGAAGTGAGAAAGTAGTACCGTAGTTATTTAGGCCAAAACAGTCTACTATGTTTCAATTCATTGTGTTGCCCTTTTTCTAAACCAAAGCAAAAGCAAATGAAAATGTTAGCCTTCCTTTCTGCTCAGAAGATGCACTCCCTCTTGCAGGGCTACTATAGCACTGTGGACTGAAGCTGCCCTCAGATAAAACACTCACAGACTTTTTCTCTATACGCTCTCTCACACAAAACCAAAGCAAGCCAAGACCAAGTGACTTCTGTCCTCTGGGGCTGGGCATCTTTGTTACATTCTCTTTGCCCATATGTTTCTCCTCTGTCTTTTCTCTAGCATTAAACACAACGTATTTTTCTGAGGTAGTGATAGCCAAAACTTACTCTGAGCTTCCAATATGGAATTAGGTATAGAAGAAATAGAAGCTATTTATAGTTAGTTCTTTTCTGGAACATCCTTCCAAGGACTCTGTTTAAAGCTTTATGCTCACCTGGTGATATTACTGGGATGTGATAGGAAACTATAGGAGGTCAGACTTAGCTGGAGGAAGTAAGTGAATGAACCATGCCACTTCAGAGCATACTGAGACTCCAGCTCTTTCTCTGTTTCTTTCTGCTTCCTTTTGCCATGTAGTGAGCAGTTTTACTTCATCCTGTGTCCCCATTGTGGTCTTCTACCTTACAACAAACCTAAAAGCAATGAAGACAGCTACCCATGGACTGAAACCGTTGAGTCAGTGACTAAAATAAATCTTTCTTCCTTGTAACTTGCCCACCTTAGATATGTTGTCAGAGTGATGGAAAGTTAACACAACATGGGGTGATTTGGATGACTTCAAGTGCTACTGGAACTGGAGCCAAAGTCCAAGCTAATAAGACAAAGCTAGTTTATCTTGTTTAATCACCTTGATACATTTACTCTGAAGGCCAGAGTTGCCTTCAGAGTAAATATAAATATACACCTCACAAGAACCTCCTAGGACTCTTACCTTATCTGTTTGCCTTCTCTCATGTCATAGAGAGAAAAGAAGACATCAGTATCTTCCCCAATGGTATTATAGGTGAAACTCTTCAGGCTGAAGAAGAAATGATGTGGTACTGGCATCCGACAGCTTTCCCCATGGCGTGGGCGCATTGTATCTACCTATTGAGGAAAGTAAAATGTTGTGATTTATATTTTAATTACTCATTATATTTATTATTAAGGAACAAAAAATTACTAAGTTTCATTATACTGACAAATGGGATTATTAAATAGGTAAGACTGAATGTTTTCTCTAGCAATATGGACTACTATAGCAGACTTGTACTGTTAGGTGGTAATAGTAACAATTCCAGATATCATTTTTATCTTTTCCCAAATGAATTCTTTTTAGTTCCTCAGTCTACTTTCTTTTAACTGTTCTTATATAAATTTGCACAGAAGAATGGAGATCGGCCAAAGGTCTTGGACACCAAAGCCCTTCAGAATGAAAGTGTAAGACAATCGAGGTTTTAAGGAATAAATATGAGCTGAATATGATAATATACATGCTATGAATATGTCTTAAAGCCGGGCGGTGGTGGCACACGCCTTTAATCCCAGCACTTGGGAGGCAGAGGCAGGTGGATCTCTGGGAGTTCGAGGCCAGCCTGGTCTACAAGAGAGCTAGTTCCAGGACAGGAACCAAAAAAGCTACAGAGAAAGCCTGTCTCGAAAATAAAAAAAAGAAAAAGAAAGAAAGAAAGAAAGAAAGAAAGAAAGAAAGAAAGAAAGAAAGAAAGAAAGAAAGAGAAAATGTCTTAAAGAAACCCATTATGTTGGCCCGGCTATGGTGGCGCACGCCTTTAATCCCAGCACTCAGGAGGCAGATGCAGATGAATTCCTATGAGTTCGAGGCCAGCCTTGTCTAGAAGAGCTAGCTCCAGGACAGCTAGGACTGTTACACAGGGAAACCCTGTCTTGAAAACCCCCCCCAAAAAAAAAAAAAAAAAAAAGAAAAGAAAAGAAACCCATTATTTCATATATGTCCTAAAATTTTTAATTACAAAGTGCACCTCCCAGAAGAAAATGGTGTTTGTCATTTCTTGGTGTTTCCACATGTATGATCTTATAAAAGAAAGACTTAAAGGACAAAAGTGGGAGGTTTGAGGAAGACACTTACTTGAGATGTGCTTTGCTGTACACTCTGTCGGCTAGATAAATGCTAAGGAAAGAAAGAAATAGAGAAAGATTTACTCTATGGTGGAGGAAACTAACTCTTATTAAGTACCTCTCTTACCTAGGCAGTCTACTATGCCTATTATAATCATGATCTCACTTAAATCAGTGTTATTCATATTTTATAGAGACAACTAAAGCTCAAGAGTAAAGGACTGGTTTGCTGAAGTTACATAAGAAGATGGTAAAGCCCGTATGTAAAGCCCTCTGTACAAAGGCCACATATAGGTGGTTGCTTGTTACCAGACTTCTGATTTGGCAGTCTCTCTCACTTTGTATAATTCTCTTTGCTGATGGATGACGTTCCTTCAGGCTTTCTACAATGCCGCCCTTTAACAAAATCTCCCAAACATCTGTCTATGTTGTTCCTTATCACTGGCTGAAGATATAAGATAAAGACTACAATTTAAGTTCTATCACATAGGCTGTGAATGCTTTTTTTTGAGAAACTAATTTTAAGTACTTTGAAACAATAAATATCTAACAATATCCACAGTACCTGCTAGACAGTGAAATCAGCATTATTTCTTGGATCAGCTATCCAAAGCTCTATTTTTCTTTTGACAGTAAGTGGTAGAAATTCCAAAAGACATGTAAACAACTTCTAATTAAAGGCTGTGCTTGCTAATCCAGCATCATATTTCCTGTCTTGGAACCTCTGAATAGCTGGGAGGAAGATACAGGAAATAAGAAGGCTTCTGGAAATACAAGGGGTGACTCTTTAGCTCTGGCCCCATGTTGGCTCTGAGGCAACACACAGGGTTTGAGGCTGAAGAGGAATACAAAAGCTTTGAGATGAGGCTGTAAAGGAAGAAGCCCCCTCCCCCCAGGTGGAACCAGTGGATTCAAATGCAATGCTGGGGTAAGCATCAGGAACTAGGATGTTTCTTCTAGGCTTCCAAGTCCTTTTCAAATTCTTAATATCTTTGAGTATTTAGCCAAGCTTAACATGCATGTCACAGTTCTGAGACAGAAACATTGCAACTGCTTCGCTCAAATGGAATCCAAGCAGGAACTGGAACACGATGTCAGTAAGGAGGGTGAGGGTATGTGAAGGGGCTTCAGCTCCTTCACTGTGGGGGCTCTTCCCCCACACCTAGGCTGTGAAATTTTTTAGAAAACTCAATCTTTCCAATAAAAATTTCCCTCCAATATAAAAGGTAAGAACCTGTTTCGTCTTTCCCAGAATGCTGGTTCAGGTGTGTGTGTGTGTGCACGTATACATATAAGAGAGAGGTCAATACTGAGTATCTTCTTCAGTTGTTCTCCACCTTCATCTCTGAGACAGGTTAGGGTTCTCTGTCAACTTGAAACTTGTCCAGTTGGCTAGACCTGCTGACCAGTGAACTTCAGTGATCCCCTAGGAAGTTCTTTTGAGGCTCAAATTACATAGTGGCAATTAGTATTCTATTGTAAGTTAGGAATTTAATTACAGAAGTTAGTTCTGGTTTTGGATCTTGACTCATGTTTACTAGATGGGTATTTTTTCGTCTATAAAATTTGGGCTTAAATCAACTTCACAGAAATGTATGTGGGTTACCGCAATACAGTACCAATAATATTATAAAAGGATTAACTCAATATAGTACCTATCATATTAGAAATAGATAATTGCAATTATATCTAATATTCCTATTATTCCTTTAACTGGTATTATTCTCACAGGTATATTACAGGGACAAGTCAATCATGCTGAAAAGTAAATCCTGTTCAAGAGCATCATGACATCACAAAATCACTAACGGTTACTATGTGTACTAGTAAACTCTTAATAATTGTTTCCACCCTATAGGTATGTAGCAGAACTCATTCAGTGCTTCATATACCAAGATAAAAATTATTATTTCAATTGAATTACTTCATTTCACTCAAATACATTTAGCTATAATAACTAGTTAAAATTAAATAATAATTAAATGTCATACATAATAATCTATGTACATTATTAGCAACATTAGATAATTACAATTGTCAATTAATGTCTGTTCCTGAAACTTTATTTTCCTATGATACATATTAAAGTAATAAAATCAAGTATCTAATAACTGGGTAAATTATTCTCAGAATCTATATTTACAAAAGAAAACTTGACATATGAATTAGTTTTTAAAAACTTTAAGGGTTGGAAATATAACTCAATGATAGAGCACTTATCTAACATGCACAAAGCTCTTGGCTTAATTTCGACGAAAAATAAACTTTACAAAACAAACAGGTTTGATAAAACCTCCCTCTTAGTGGCAATCATCACTTGTATCAGAATTTTAATTCATTAATGTTTCCATATTTACTACTTAACTTTAGACTATGAGCTTTCAAGGAAGCAAACTATTATTCTATTTATCTTTTCATTCTAATAGCATAAATATGAAAATAACACTAAAAAATTATGAAATTCATAGACTACATTATTCCTCCTGCCAATTTTTCTCTGGTTGAGATGTTTCCAGACCTTTACAATCTCTAGTAAATTTAGTCTATCAAATATACCAATAAGAAAACAAACCTATAGGGGTTAAGAGCTCTGGCCGTTCTCCCAGAGGACCCAGGTTCAATTCCCAGCACCCACATGGCAGCTCACAACTGTCTGTAACTCCAGCTCCAGGGGGTCTGACACCTTTGTACCAATACACATAAAGTTAAATAAATTTTAAAAATTTTTTTAAAAAATTAAAAAAAAGAAAACAAACCTATGCATCTTTGGACACAGTATTAATAATATAACTAACTATTTGATGTATACACCGGAGACAGTGTTAACAATTGTGACTCTTGGGGCTGGAGAGATGATTCAGGTTCCAGAGGAACCGGGTTTAATTCTCAGCGACTCCATGGCAGCTCATAACTGCCTGCATGTAACTCCAGTTTCAGATGTTCTGACACCCTCAACACAGACATGTGGGCAAAAAAACAATACACATAAAATAAAAAATAAATGTCTGTTTTTTTCCTTCTGAAAGTCCATTAATCCCATTATACTGAGATTGAAATGCTCATCTTTGTAACTTCTCTCTTTTACTTTTATTGTCTTACAATTTCTTTTCTATGATTTTAAAACATGTAGTTATATGTGTCTCCATGACTGCAGGTTCCTACGGAGGCCAGAGGCATCAAATATCTGGGAGCTGGAGTTACAAATCACTATTAGCCACACTGGCAGGTGCCAAGAATAAAAACAGTCCTCTGGAAGAGTAGTAAATGCTCTTAACCACTAAACCACCTACCTTATCCTTTTGCATCTTATTTTGATGCTGTTTTCAAATTCATGTCCTTTTCTACTATAATTATAATTGTTTTGTGGGTGTGCATTGTTTATATCCTATTGAGTCTATTATTGTTGCCTTTATATACATGGGACTAGAACTGACCACTTGAGTATAGGCAACCTGTTGAGGGCTCAATTCTCATTTCCTCGATGGTTATCATCTACCTGTAGCTTCTAAAATAGGGGCAGAAGTTTTTGTGTTCTATACCCAACTATGCTGGTATGTTGACTTGTACAGTCTTGTGTAAGTCTTTTATAAGTAATCATAGCTATTGAGAGTTTATGGGGCAATATCCTCCTCAGGTCAAAAAGATACCATTTTGATGTGGGAGTGATTTCTTATTAATAAAGAAACTGCCTAAGCCCCTTGATAGGCCAACCCTTAGGTGGGTGGAGTAAACAGAACAGAATGCTGGGAGAAAGAAGCTGAGTCAGAGAGTCACCATGATTCTCCCACTCCAGATAGACGCAGGTTAAGATCTTCTCTGGTAAGCCACCTCGTGGGCTACACAGATTATTAGAAATGGGTTAGATTAATATGTAAGAGCTAGCCAGTAAGAGACTACAGATAGCGGGCCAGTCAGTGTTTAAAAGATTACAGTTTCCGTGCAATTATTTCGGGTAAAGCTAGCCGTGCTGGCGGCCGGGTGCCAGGGACGCAGCCTCGCCGCTCCTACTACTACATCATTTTAAAGCAGTTCTCTGTGTTCTTTGACTCTTTTTTTTTCATGTCCCACTTTCTTTTTTTCATTTCCCCTTCCTTCTATACCATATTTTTTCTAATGACCTTTGTTTAATTGTTTTCTTTTGGTTTTGTGAGACAGGATTTCTCTATGTAGCCCTAGATCTCTTGATATTCACTCTGTCTAGCAGGGTGGCCTTGAACTCCGAGATCTGCCTACCTCTCCTAGGATTAAAGGTGTGCATTACCTCAGGTGGTTTACATTTTTAAAAGCTGTGTGGGTTACTGTACTCTGTTTATACTTGTTCTCTCCTTTCTTCTTTGTTGACAAGAATCCCTGTTTTCTCCCGAGTCTTCCACATATTACTTGTTCTCTTCTCTAACTTTTATGTAGGAATTTTTGTTCGTTCATGTTTGGCTATGTAAAAGTTCTATGTGAGCTCTATTATCATTGGGTTTCATTTAGAAATATTTGGAAAAGAAAGCAATCTTCTTGCTGAGCTACAAATATAGATATTTTTCCTGATGTCTCTAAAATTACTACAGCTAAACTTTACTCCTGAACCACAGACTTTAAATACAAGTTTTTGGGAAGTTTACACCAAATTTTTAAAAATTAAAAAAAAATCCAGTACTCTTGGTTCCTCATTGGTTACCCCCAAATCTGATTCTTCTATATAGTCCCCCATTGTACTTTTATCATCTGGGCAGATAAAACACAGGAGTCACTGTTCTTTAATCTAGCTCTTCCCTGTACACACGCATACCATTTCATTCTGTCAATAACTCTAACTCTAAAACCTAAGTATATTCAATATTCAACAACTTCTTTCTACTTCCACTGTCCTGGCTCTAGGTTGAACTACTGAACTGAAATGACTTCTTTGCAGTTCTATTTTATGATCTGAAAAACTTGCCATGTCACTATCATGTTCTATCAAGCCCCTAACTGGAGCCTACAAAGCTCTTCACAATTTGGCTCCTGACTCCTTCTTAGCCAAAATTATCAAATGTCTCACACTTCCTGAAACTGCTATTTTCGTCTGTTGTGTGTCATTTTGGAAGTTCCTTCCTTATCTTTTCTGGTCCCCAGAATACCAATCTTGATTCTAATAACATCAGCATACACCTTATTTATGCCATGCAGCACATGCAATGGTAGTTACTTATGATCTATCTATCCACTAAGACCTTCAAACATAGGTTCACAATAGCTGTAATCAGTCTTATGCTCTATAAAAATATTTCACTTTCTTGCAGCTTCCATCATACAGTCTGAATCACTATAAACTCTTAAAAATAAATTTCCTTAGTCTGAAGTTCTTACCTTAAATTTCTACTGTATTTTACATCATTTTTTTACTTTATTATCCAGCATGTAAAATATAACTGTGTTTATCAGTCAACCCATCGATATTTTCATTAAAATGGTTACTTAGATCCAGTGATCTTCTACTTTATGTCCAAAGTATTATACATATTTAGTCATATACAATGTCATAATTCTATAATTGTTATATGATTTAGGTTCTTTACAGAAATACATGATCTATTGCTAGAAGTGGTTAATTAACTGTCACACAACTACTAAATAATACAACTGGGGTTTAAGCCTTATTAATTTAATTTAGTATCCTTACTTTAGTCTGAGTTTACAATTCAATATCATAACTAGAAAATGACATTAATTGGAGGTCATTTTTATTTGTTTAGAATGTTTTTAAAATAACTAACGTACATCTAAGGATCTATCAGATTTTTATAGGCTTTGTCATCATCCTCAATGTTCATCACAAGAATGGAAACCAGTGTAAGTTAAGAGAACTTGAGTTCTATCAACTTTCTAACTGCTTATAGACCACATATACACACTATGAGGATTGTGACTGAGAGCAGGACTCTAAATATGCTTCTTAACAACATCATGTCTCTAGAAAGATAAGTGTATTATTTCCAGGTTCAATCACTTTTTTTTTCAATCACTTTTTTTCAGTCACTGTTTGAACTAACAACTGGCTCTTTGCAACATCAATCATCTTTTCATTATAAAAGGCAAGACAGAGATATATACTATTAACTATTGCAAGTGGCAGAAAAAAAAACAGCAGAGTAGAATTAACAGAGAAGTGACCCCCTAGAAAGTATAGTGAGCTCAACATTCCTGCTTTGTATTTTCACTTGGAAAGTATGATGCCAGAGTAAAACTAGTTGTTTCTTAAATACAGAGACAGAAGCAAAAGGACAGTTTAAAAAATGTTGCAATCTATCTCAAGATCCAGCAATATTATTCTTGTACATATACCCAAAGGATGCGCACTCATACCACAAGGACATTTGCTCAACAATGCTCATAGCAGCACTGTTCATAATTGCCAGAACCTGGAAACAACATACATGCCCCTCGACTGTAGAAAGGATAAAGAAAATGTGCTACATTTACACAACGGAGTATTACTCAGTTGTAAAAAACAATGACATCATGCAATTTGAAGGCAAATGGGTAGAACTAGGAAAAAAAATCATCCTGAGTGAAGTAACCCAGACTCAGAAAGACAAATACAGTATGTACTCACTCATAAATGAATATTAGATGTAAAGCAAAGGACAACCAGGCTACAATCCACAGTCCCAGGGAAGCTGAGGAACAAGGAAGACCCTAAAAGGAACACATGGATTGCCCTAGGAGGGGAAATACATAAGGTCACCTGGATAAACTGGGAGAAGGGTAGAGGGAGAGGATGGAAGATGAAAACATAAGGGAACTGGATGGAGTTGGGGGAGGGACAGAGAAGGAAAACAATGAAAGAGATATCTTGATAGAGGGAGCCATTATGGGGTTAGGGAGAAAGGAAGACCCCAGCTAAGACTCCTAGCAATAGTGGAGAGGGTGCCTGAACTGGCCTTCCCCTGTAAACAGATTGATGACTAACGTAATTATCATCGTAGAACCTTTTTCCAATAACTGATGGATGCAGATGCAGAGATCCACAGCCAAGCACTGGGCCAGCTCCAGGGGTCCAGTTGAGGAGAGGAAAGAGGAATTACATGAGCGAGGGTAGGGGGGTCAAGGTCATGATGGGGAAACCCACAGAGACAGGTGACCTGAGCTTCTGGGAACTCATGATCTTCTGGACTGATGATAGCTGGGGAGCCTGCATGAGACCAAACTAGGTCCTATGCATGTGTGTGACAGTTGTGTGGCTTGGTCTGTATGTGAGGCCCCTGGCAGCGAGACCAGGATCCATCCCTGGTACATGAGCTGGTTTTTTGGAACCCATTCCCTATCGTGGGATGCCTTGCTCAGCCTTGATGCAGCAGGGAGGGGCTTAGTCCTGCCTCAACTGGATGTGCCAGGCTTTGTTGACTCCTCATGGCCCTTACCCTCTCTGAAATGTGGGTAAGGGGGTGGGGTGGGGAGGAAGTAGGGGGTAGGAGAAGAGGAGGGAGGGAGAGGAACCAAGGGAGGGGGTAACTGTGGCTGGTATGTAAAATGAATAAAAAAATTAAAATGTTTTAAAAACAAAGGAAAAAATAGCTGTAAAGGAACAATCCATCCCTTTTTAAGACTTCTTACCATTTTATAGAGATCCGAGACACTAATCTGGTCTGAGTCCACTACTTCAAAGTCCTTCCGAGGCACCAAATCCAGGCCCAAATGCCTAATAAAGAGAAAGACCACAATCAGTTGCAAATGCTCAGATTACTCATCTCTCTATGTGGAACTGAAAACCTATGTCTTTCATGATTTTGTAGACAGAGCTTCAAGCACTGCCCTAGAAGGGACATGCTTTTATATAGCAACATCTAATTGTGTTCACTTAGGGGCAAATGAATGAAGCTAGGGATTTTAAGACAATTCTAGTTACTAAGCAGTTCTACTGGTAATTACAAAAAGCTTCCATTTAATATGGTTATAATAATACTTAATTTCATTAAGAATACTTTTTATTAGACAAATAAGCCATTTTTATTTTTATATTTCTCACACCATACTAGTATATTCAAGGTTCAATTTTGCATTATTTTCATTACAATGAAAAAAATCAACACATAAAAATCATGTCCCAGCACCTAGCATGGTGGTGCACACCTTTAATCCCAGCACATAAAGGCAGAATCAGGAAGACTTCTGTGAGTTCAAAGCTAGTTCCAAGACAGCCAGAACTATACAGTGAGATTCTGTCTCAACAAAACAAAACAAAAATCACATCCTAGAGAGGATGATCCCAACTAAGACTTAGCAATGGTGGAGAGGGCGCCTCAACTGGCCATCTACTGTAAGCAGATTGGTGACTTCCCTAATTGCCACCAGAGATACTTTATCCAGTAACTGATGGAAGCAGAGGCAGAGACCCACAGACAAGCACTGCACTGAGAGGAGAGGAGGGAGGGAAAATAGTTGGTAAATAAAATAAATGAAAAATAATGTTATTTAAAAATTTAAAAAAAGAAACGTGTTTTAGTTTACCTGTATATTGTTTCCAATTTAATACTAACATTGGTAAATCTTAAGATATATAAGCTATAATATCTTTAACATTAGATAGAGGTTTAAGAAATACTACTACTTGAGCAACAGAATTTAGAAGATATGATTTTGGATGGGGGAAAAAAAGAAGTGATGTGTTGTAGGAGGCTGTTTGTTTGTTCCTGGCTGCTCAGCCCCGAAATAACCATACATAAACTGTATTAATTAAATCACTGTTTGACCCATTAACTTCTTGTTGGCTAACTCTTACATATTAATTAACCCATTTCTATTAATCTGTGTATCGCCACGTGGCTATGGCTTACTGGGTGAAGTTCCAGCATCTGCCTCTGGCAGTGCTACATGGCTTCTTCTGACTCTGCCTTCTTCATCCCAGCATTCAGCTTAGTTTTCCCACCTACCTCTGTTCTGTCCTGCTTCAGGCCCAAAAGCAGTTTCTTTATTAATCAATGGTAATCACAGCAGCATATATAAGGGAATCCCACAGTGATGGTAATTTTCAGTTGATTGTGTGGTAGCATTAGGCAGTGGGAAGAACTCTCTAGACCCCAAATTTTTGGGTTCACTTATCTAATACAATTTATAGTCGGTTTGATATTCTCCTTCTTACTAGCTCTAAACCTGAAGATCAGTGAAGTTAGAGGTTTGTGGGCCTATGAAATGGATTGTAATACTAGACTGGGGAAGATCATATATGAATTTCTTTCTAAAGAAGAGAGCTTACTTATCAGGGTTTCAGAGATGGTTCACTTGACCTCAACAAGGTTATGAATTACTGTCTGGCAAAAGTATTCAATGGGACTTTTCAACAACTACTCTAACTAAGCTATAAAACTTTTCATAAAATGTTAGCAAAATTAATTCTGTAAGCTTGTTCAGTACACAAACCCCTACTCATTTAAAATAACATGAGTTGTGCATTCAAAATGTAGGCTTATTTTACCAATAATACATAATTTATTTGTGCTGTTTGTTTGTTTTTGTCAACTTGACACAAGTTAGAGTCATTTGGGAAGAGGGAACCTCACTGAGAAAAGGTCTCCATTAAATTGGGCTGTGAGCTAGTCTGTTGGACATTTTCTTGATTAAAATTGATGTGGGAGAGCCTACCTACTGTAGACAGTATCACCCCTGGGCAGGTGCTACTGGGTTTTATAGGAGGGTAGGTTGGGCAGGCCATGAAAAGCAACCCTGTAAGCAGTGTTTTTCCCTGATCTCTGCTTTATATCTTGCCCAGAGTTCAAATCTTTACTCCCCTTCAGGATGAACTATAAGCTGAAAGAGGAAATGAACACTTTCTTCCCCAAGTTGCTTTTGATCTTGTGATTTTTATCATGGCATCAGAAAACAAACTAAGGTAATCTTGTTCATAGCAAAGTATCTGATCTAAAAGTATCAAATTACAAGATAATAGTAAAGTAAAAATGGAAAATCAAAACTATGAGGAAGATAGAAGCAAGCATATTAACAGCATGTTAAAAGCAAGCACTAACAGCAAAATGATTACTATAATTTAGAATGAAAAGAGCACGCCAGTATTTATGTTGGAAAACTGGAGTTATAAAATTATCTTTAAAAATATTTTCCAAGTCATTTATATTTTCTAAAAAAATAAAACAGACATACACAAAAGCAGATTGGTCCGTGTCTATAAATCCTAGTACTCACTGAGGCAATAAATGAGTTGTAAGTTAGCCTAGGTTACATAATAAGATAGGTATCCATAGCTGGGCAATGGTGGCGCACGCCTTTAATCCCAGCACTCAGGAGGTAGAGGCAGGCGGATCTCTATGAGTTCGAGACCAGCCTGGTCTACAGAGCTAGTTCCAGGACAGGCTCCAAAGCCACAGAGAAACCCTGTCTCGAAAAAAAAAAAAAGATATGTATCCATAAGGGGAGGAGAACAAATGGAAGGGGAAGCAGGGTGGGAGAGAACAAAACATACATTTCATATATTTTCTTTAACTACTGGAAGTTTAGAGATGTACAGCTGTCTCTTGATATCTATCCAAAAGGGATTAGTACTAGAAGCCCTCAAGAATGCCCAAATACAATGATGTTAAAATCTATTACATAATAGAGTTACAATCTGTATATAATACATAAGCATATTCAATACAACTGGGTATAATACACAACTTTTCCGTATACTTTGTTATCTCTACACTTGTAATATATACAATGTAGATGCTATTTAAATAGCTGTTCTATTGTATTGTTTAGGAAATAATAAGAAAATGTGTAATTTAAGAAAGGTAGGGAAAGAGAGACTGCCTGACTCTTGAAGAACTGCTGCTGACTCTACCTTAACCACTGAAGAACCTGAGAAGTCACTGATACTCTGCTGCCTTTATATGTCCTAAAAGGAAAAAAAAGACTGTATCTTTAAATCTTTAATCAGAAATCTTAGCTTAAAATCTACTAAGGGGAAATTTATTGAATGACACATTTTTTTGTGTATTCCAAACCAAACTACTGCTTATGGCACTTACTCTAACCACAATAAATAAAGGACATAAAGTAAATCAGAGAGAGAAATATGAAGGAATTGTCATAGGTAAAAATCTTATAGTGGAGGTAGAAAAGAGGGGGGAGGGGAAAAATTAGTGAGATTATCAAAGAAGAAAAGGCAGAGTATAATGGCAGGTATGCACAAACCTAGCACTCAGGATACCAAGGTAGAATAATTATAAATTCAAAGCCAGGCTAAGTGAGACTTAATATAAGACAAAATAATAACTAGAATTATACATTATAAGTGATTCATTTAAAAATTGTTGACTTTGCAGTAAAAATTTCATTTAACAAAATAATGTACAGAAACATTTGTTTTTAAGAAAGAGTTTCACTGTGTAACAGCCTTGGCTGTTCTGGAATTTACTCTGTAGATCAGGCTGACCTCAAACTCACAGAAATCCACCTGCTTCTGCCTCGCAAGTACTGAGATTAAAGCCATGCACCACCACATAATTTTAATTCAACAAAAGTTTAAAAATACTTTTAATGTTATTCAAACCTGAACTTGCCACCTAAAGAATGCAACACATAAAATTCTATAATTTTTAAAAGAGTGTATGTCATTAAGACACACTCAGGGTTAATCATGCCATTCTGATTGTTCACAAGTATCATAGCTGAGTAGGATGGTTGGATACTTCCTTCCTCTGGAGGTTCAATGCAAAAGACAAAACCTATTACGGAAAATTACAACCAATCAAAATGCAGAGTTGTGGAGCCCAGTCTCAATAGATACATCTACCAGAAAAACAAAAACAAATACAAAAACCCTCCCACACTTAAAGCTCATGGAACACTGCAGAAGAGGGAGTAGAGGGATTCTAAGAGCCAAAGGAACAGGACATTTGCTGTGAGATTATGTCTTCTAGTAATGTCAGAAGTTACACCCATAAAATATCACAAACATGACTGCCAAACCATGAACTGACCGAGGAAATAACAATAAAATGCTAAAGTAGATGGGAGAAAGGCCACAAGACTCAACCTTATACAACGAAAAACAGGCAACGAAAGAATGCTGAGTGTGGGAAGAATAATCTCCAGGAAAAAGCATGTCAATAGGTCAGGCAATACCAAATGGTCAGCTATGAAAACATACATATGAGTAACATCATAAAACTTATCAGGATGTATTTAGAATAAATATGTATATTAATACATGCACATATATTTCATATATATGCATACTATGACAAGTAATGAAAAAAGGCCATGAATTTGAAAGACAGCAAGTAGGGATATATGAGAGGGTTTGGGATGAGGAAAGAAAAGGGAGAAATGATGTGACATAATCTCAGAAATAAAAATAAAACTTATTTTTAAATAAGCAATAAAAACTTTTAAAAATATTTCTCCTTTTGAGTATTTTTCTAAGGCAAAATCAGTTTACTTGTGTCAATTCTGGATTACTGCAATTTTAATTTACCTATTTTATATTTTCTACAGTGATGAAACTAAAGACATTGAAAAAAGTGTTTATGGAAGGTATTGAAAAATAATAAATTGGAATTAATTACTAGGTGTATTATTTTTAACTCTACACTGAATATAATTGTTGGATTTATTCTTTATATAGGATACTTTAGAAGGGAGAATGAACAGTTCACTTGAACACAACTTTGTATTACACACTTCCTATATCATAGATCCTAA